ATATTCCCGAAACCACTGTTGTTTTCAGCCATTGCAAAGTTTTTAATAGCAATTCTTAAAGTGCTTGAGTAGTACGGCTTGGAATTCAGAGGGAGATTTACATAGCTGTGACATGTTCTCCTTGCAATGACTCCTAGACTTTTTGAATTAATGGACATTTAGAATTTGAGACTTTGGACACTGACAGGGCAAGAGAGAACTGTAAACTACCACCTACTGTCACACCATTAAAAAAATAAGTCAGTTAAATCCCACCTCTTGCCACTCAGAAAAAAAGAAAACAAAACAAAACAAAAAAACCAAGTCAGGATTTAACACCCTCAATATTTTGTCAAGGATTAGCAGGACAGAAATAGTAAAGAACAACATTTTTCTGATTGATGAGCACCTTTTGTCTAATTATTTTATGTGTCTAAAATATTTTATGTGTTGGAGGGTACCCAAATTTGTTCTCCTTTAGTGCTTGGAGTACTCATAGGCATACCCATGAGTATTATTAGTATTAGTTCAACCAAAGAGCTATGATAGCCAGAACAGAGAGCCACAGTTCAATCAAAGCCTTTCTAAAATTGTGTCTCCCACTGAATCTCTGAAGCATCACAGTGGTTTCTGATCACAGCAGTTATCACAGCACTAATATCACATAGCTGGAGTATCACAGTAGAAACAGAGGAGTATCTCTAGGCACAGCAATAAGATGCAAAAAAGTCTAATACAGAGACTTTAAGAAATACACTCAAATGGAGCTGGCTAAGACTTCTTCATGACTTATTCTCTTTTGATTCCCCATTCCATTCGTAGTTCAATTTTTAATTTTCCATCATCACTCTGTCTAGCTTAATGACTACTCACTTCAACTGCAAAAGTAATATTGATTTTTAAAAACATTCACTGTATAATGAAACATAAACCCAATAAATATTAGTATAATTCTCTTAGCTATTCCAGTAAATCCTGCAGCCCAGGCTAATAATTCCATTACCATTTTCATTTTCTTAGGTTGTTTTTCACTGAATATTAACTTAATAGATTCAATTATTATATATAATAAAAAACTAAATTTGAAAATTTAGAGCATTCTTTATTCTCTTTACTCTATGAGATAGTAGGTAGACACATCTGTATGTTCTAAAATCTCATATTTTAGGCAAAAGTGCTATAACTTGGGGTAGTCTGAAAATGCGTATCATGATAGAAGAAGATACAAATGAGTTACACATGAAAGACATGTACTACATTATTTCACATTTGACAAGAAGTATAAAAGGTTATGAAGTTTTCAGATAGATTAAGCAATTATGTTAGTCTTTAAGAAGATCAACAACCTCACAAATGTTTAATCAATACAGGATTGCATGGGGCTTTTAAGTAGAAAAGCAAGCAAACTAACGATCAGCGTGATTTGTATTGATGATACGATTAAACATAATATGATGGAGTTTGAAAATAGATTTTGGGTAAAATGGATATATGGATGGATAATGGAAACATCTGTTAATTCCATTTAGAGTAATAGGGGAATAAATCTTTTTCTTTTATGGGACTATTATAGTAGCCCTTTGCAACTATGTAAGTGGATATAGTTCCCTCCTTTGGTCAGGCAACTTCCCCTTGGCTCTGATAGGTATTCCTTCAACTTCCTGCTATGACATTCATCCTCTCATCTTTCCTCATGAAGAAGTAGATTCCCCTCCTTTCTTCTCTGAGATTTTCAACTTCCTCAAATATGATCAGGTGTCTGCCGTCTTAAATATTCCTTCTGGCTTCCTTATATCCCTTTTTAGATTCTACCATAATTCTCTCATTCCTTTCAAAAGGAAGCTCCTTTCTTGAGTTTTCTAAGTTTCTATGTTTATCTACTCCTTAATGTAAGTTCCAATGGATTCCACTCCGTCAATTAAGTAAATTGATTTTGCCGAGGCCACCAATGACTTCTCCATTTCTAAATCAAGAGCCTTTAATCATACTTACCTTGCTTGATTTTTTTTTTTTGGCACCACATGACACTGTTGACCACTCTCTCCTTAAAACATTATTTCCTTCTAGTTTTTTAGAGGTCACTGGAGTTGAGAGCCCTATCTATTCTATGTAAACTGATGAGCCAATGCCAATCATATAATTTTATCGACTTGCTAGGGGTGGGAAGTCCTTAGCTATTTTGGATCAGTGAGATGTAAGAAGAGGTTTGTTGGGAGATTTAGGGTTGAAAAGTTCTGCTTGTAACAGACAGCTATTGGGAACTTGGTTCTCTCCTTTGATGGATTTGAAAAAGGAAGCTTGTATCTCCAATTGTCATTGGTAGCCCACTTACAATAATGAGAGGAACCAATTTTAGGATAAAGCCAACAGTATGGATAGAAGAGTGGAGAGGAAAAAAGCCCTAAGTATTTAGATTATATAACTGAAGACTAAATCTGAGGCTTACTCTAGATCTTGATAATCAGCTAAATATTTATGTAACATTCAAGGCTGTTTCCTTTGAATTTTCTATATCCTGTGGCGGAAAGAACTCTATTGATAAAATCTTTGGTTATTCCTTCTCTGTTCTTCCTAAGATCATCCCTTAAATGTTGGTGTTCCATGGAGTTCTATGTCACCATCTGTCTCACTCATAGCTAATTATGACATATATCTGATGATTGCTAAGTTTGTATCTTCAGCTAACATTTCTCTCCTGAACTTCAGATAAATATATCCAAATATCTACTAAACATTACCACTCAGATACCCTAAATATACCTCAAAGCAACACTTAAAACTTAAACTACCCTCCCCTCTTCCACTTCTACTTATTACTCTTTTTGTACTTCCAATCTCAGTGAATGGCACAAAATCAGTCCCTTGTCCAAATTAGAAATCTGTGTACCAATCATGGAACTTATATCTATCTCCTCTATCCTATGTCCAGTGGATCACAACATCATGTTGGCTCACCTTTCAATAAGATATTGAATCTAGGCATTTCTTGCCACCACCCATTGTTTCCATCTACTCTCCCCTGTATTACAAAAGAAGCTTCTTAACTCATTCCATTGCCTTCAGTCTTTCTCCTCTACAATTCATTCTCCGTAAAGCTATCAGAGTGCTCTTTAAATGAAAATTTAATCTTGGCTTTCCCTTGTTTAAGACACTTCAATGCTCCCCTTCTCATTTCCTTCCGAGTAAAGTGCAGCATGATCAAACTTCTGTTTACCTTCCGGCCTTATTTCACATCACTCCTCTCGACTTCCTTTAGTTTCTTTACTAAACAAGTGCCCTTTCCAGATACTCTCATAGCCTTATATCCCAACTTCACTGCCCTAGCCACACTACATTATGTTTATCTGCTATGTTTAATATTGCCCAATAGGCAGATTGATAACATGTGTACTAACATGCAAATCAGGTCATTAACAATTAATTTAGGTAAAATAATGTGATAGTTAATATATATTTTTAAAAAAAGCATTGAAGTAGTTATCAAGAGGAAAACCATCACCTAGGTTACAAAGAAAGTATGTGATTATATATGTAAGTCATGAAACACAATTATAAAATAAACACTCAGGTACTTAAGAACTAAGTGTAAGAGCCACAATTCAATTTAAGAAATAAAACAGTAGCAAGAATAATACAAGTTTCCTCCCTTAGCCTACCTCCAGCCTTCCCTTTAGAGATAAACATAATCGTAAATTTTGTTAACCATTCCCTTATAAAAATAGTTTTCTGACTCATGTACTTATGCCTAAACAATATATTTTTAGTTTTGCTTGTTTTTGAGATTTATAAATATGATAGTTTTGATGTGTTCCATCTTCTTAAACTTGTTTTTTACTCAAATTATATTTCTAAAGTTTATACATATTATCATAATTATGATTAACTAATTTTCATTGCTTTAAAATACTCTTCTGTGTGAACAGCAGAGTTTATTTACATACTTTCCTGGTGGTTGGCATTTGGGTTTTTCCAGTTTTCTACTATTGTAAACATTACAAGTGTCGTGGATAATATCTCAGGAGGGCAATTTTTGGATTGTAGGGTTTGTGCATGTTCAGCTTTATAAGACAATTTGATACCAAAGTGATTGTGCTTTTTATTCCTATAAGAACTATAAAAAGGTTTCCATTGCTCTTATAGTTGCAAACAACCTACATTTTTCAGACTTCTTAATTTTTGTGACTAGTAGGTATAAAATAGCATCTTTTTTTTTGTATTTCTGGTTGACAAAAGTATTCAGTTTTTAAAAATGTTTATTTACTCTCCTAATTCCCCTTGTACTTTACCATTCTTTTGTAGTGTTGTATGTCTTTTGTTATTGATTATATGAGTTTTAAAAAATATATTCTGGAATACCAATCCTTTGTCCCTCATATATGTTGCAATTATCTTCCCAGGTTGTGGCTTCTTCTTATTCCCGTCATGATAATATAATATGGTATTATAATTACCTACCTATCACTTAGGATACCTCACCAGACTAAAAGGTCTTCAAGGTAAGACACCATCTTAGTCATTTTTGTTCCCCAGATCTAGCAAGTGCTCAAAACATAGCTGAGCACATACAGTTGCTCAGTCAATATTTATCGAATGAATGATAGGATGAATGAACTGCTATGACTTTAAAAATGGTAAATCAACCTTTTTTAGCCAAATTTCATTTTACACAAATTGGCTGCACCATACTGCTAAACTAAAGAGGGTCAGAAGTATGCATTACACACAATCCTGTACTTGCACTTCAAAGGTGGGAGTCAGGCACTAGTAAAAGGTGAGAGTATCTTCAGAGAGGTGGCAGGATATTGTTTATAAAAATTTGTTACCAATTCTTAACATTTGGTAGTGTTCGTTTCTCATCCTTTTCAATGCGCTTACAGTTAACTAAGCTCCCTATAGTGGGATAATATTTAGCCTAAATTTATTACAAAATTAGAAATGTTGTTAAGACACAAGATACGGATTACATATTACAATGGATGCACAAGGTTCATGGTTTGTGTCATTAATTTGAAATTGGTTACCTTTTTAGTAATGGTGTCCGGAGGTACATCCCGCCTCCCAAGAGGATAAGGATTCCATTGGCCACTAGGAGATACATCTTCTTGTCCATTGTCTAAAATGTTGCTTTGCTGGGACGGGGTCTATTGCGAAAATGGTATGGCATTCTTTAGTGATGTAATAGAAGTTTATCATAATTTTCTGAAAAGAGTCCCTAGTGACTATGATAAAATTAATTTTGTTTAATTGCAGAAAAACAAATATCCTGAACTGGAAGAATTATTATACACTATTTACTCAGTAAGAATTCTAAATTGACAGCTTTTTGGAAGCAGTGAGAAATTCGATTAAAATAACCATCTTAGAGTTATTTACTGAATTTTAAAGAAAAGTTTAGATTATTTACAGTACCTGAATAAAAAATAGTCAGAATAAAATTAACCAATTGTTAAAAACCACAACATTTAAAACCTGCTTAATTCATTTCTTTAGTATGATCTTACCATTTAGAATATAAACTGAAACCATATATTACATAGTATGTAACTTTCAATATTTCAAACCATAACCTAAAACAAATTTTATAAAGCTGTACTGATTCTGGTAGAACATGCCTTGCACTAATCCAACATAGTGTTAATACTAGCATAGTGTAAGATTTATGGTACTATGACATTATCTACTGATTGCTTTTAGGAAAGTAGGAAAGGAACATCAAAAATATTGTACTATTAGAATCATGGCATAAATAAATGACTTTTGATTTTAAATTTATTTATATAGATCATTTATGCTTTAAAGTTTAAACTCTTCATATATTTGTAGCTGATTTACTGCTTATTATTTTTAACAAATAATAATACCCCTGTCATTATTATTATTAATATAAGATACCAGGGAGGGCTCCATAGTCTGATCTGAGTAATAGCAAGTAATTACACACCATCAGAAAGACAGCCTCCAGTGGAGGGATATAGTACTGGTATATTTTTCCTGTGGAAGCAGATCAACTTTTTTTTATGATTATATATGTATAATCATATACATACTTTCTCCTCCCCTAACCTACAGGATATCCAGATACTCCTTGATTTCCTGGGGAATTCTTATGTGGGTGAAAAATTATGCCCAGTGTTTCCTGTGCCGTTTTCTGTGTATGTTTTCAAGTATCCCTATGGATAAATAAAGCCTAGTGAGAGGGTATATGTGCAGCTCTACTCTGTGTGAGGAACTGTCCAGCCCCAGGATGGGAGAACTGGGCCATTCTCTTCACAACATGGCACAGATGGGCTGCTTGGCAGCCGTCATCTGGTTATACAGAGCGGTCCTAGTTGGTTTTTAAAAAACAATTATATAACCATCCAATCTGCATTCTGACTGCATGCATTTTTTTTAAAGGGATTGCTTGGAACTGTTTTAAAATAAGATTATGACACTAGATGAAGTTTTCCTAAGGTCTAATGGATATAATGAAAAGTAAGGAGATAGCTCAATTTTCTTCTTGTGCTTTGGCCCTAAGAATTCCTTTTTCATGAGTCTATCAGAAAATGTGAAAAAAGAGAAGAAAGGTACTGAATTGAAGCATCTGGGTTAGTTAGGGATTAATTCACTTGTGTTTGTTTGAAAAATCACATGTAGGTAACACATTTAAACTACATACGACTTGAAAAAAACAACAACAGCTATTTAATGCCTGTTTATCTGTTTTCAAGCATTAATTTTCTAGTCTTTTCCTTTTTCAGATTAACATGTTTGTATATGCTCACACACAATTTTTCTAGATATTAAAATATGACAAGTCAAATTATTAAAATTAAGCACTTAAAATATAAGTTTTCAGGGTAAGCACTACTGACCAGTGTTTTTTTGTTTGTTTGTTTTGGCTTAAATTAATGGTTTAAATTAATATCCATGTCTTTCTGGCTTGATTTACTTGCCAGTGAAGTAGGATAATGCATGTGTTCATCTGGTTAGGTGCCTGTGCAAAATCTTTTTTTGAGAAGAGGCCAGAATGTAACACAAGTATTCTTTTATTTTTTTCCCCCTCCATATCATTCTCCTCTCCTTCCTATTTCCTCCACTAGTCTTGCTTCAGCTGCCCAGACAGGACTCCTAGTCACAGAGAGCAACTGAGAATTGCAGAATTCTTTCTGGTGTTAAAAACAAAAAACAAAAAACAAAAAATGCAAAAATCCTTTAGTCAAAATCCTAATGTCATGATGGTGTAGGCTCTTCCCCAGTTTAAGAATCAATCTTTCTCGTTTTAAAATTAGAATTAGCAACCACACCGATTCTACACTACAGGAGTCAGAGGAAACATAAACATGCAGACACATGAAAAAAAAAAAACTTTTACTAGACACCAAAATTAAAAGAATTTCCCGAAAGCAATTTCCTTTCTCCATTTCAAGAATGCTCTGGCATTTTTGTTTTTCTTAAGTAAGATACTCTGGGGGCTTAAGTTTGGAGAAATAGTAAGACCATGAAAACAGTTTATTAATGTTGGGTGTGGGGAGGCGGTCCAAAAGAAAATTATACAGTGTGTTCACATTCTGTCCCAAAAGATGTATAGCTATTTACAAAAAAATTATACTTTTGATAAAGTGCTACTGAGTTGTATATAAATGCAGTTGCTTAGTTGTTAAAATTCTATAAAAGATTAAAAGGAACAACTGAAATATATAAAAAAAATGAAGCTATCACTGTTGAAATTTGTTATTGCAGAGATAATAAGCAAACTGAGGTTCAGTTATTCATTCAATTATTTCTAGTACCACATTCTAGATATTTTCTTTAGATACTTTAAAAAAGTAAGAATGAGTCTTCTTTTCCTCAGCATAAATAACCTTAAATTAAATATAAAAGACATGGAAAATTACCATAATGCACCATTTTCTCAGCTTCTAAATTCTGTAGGTCTCTAAATATTTTAAAAAGAATAGAGAAAATGGTCATTATGATTTAGTGAAAACTCAGAAATTATATTTGTTAAGAAATACACTAATGCTAGGAGAAGTTTTGCTGAAGGGATACAGTCCCAGAAATGACTGTGGACATTTGTAGATTTAACATTTATGTTTTTGACTACTGTGAATGACCACAAATGTCTACTGGAAGAAGTAATTTCTAATCTTGCTGAGATGTAAATGTGCATGAAAATCTGTGATATATATGTGCATATGTGTGAGTGTGTGTATGCATGCACTTATGCGTGTCCATATGTGAATATGTTTGTATGTACAGGATTCACAAATATGAATAAATGAGCTGAGCTGATTTAGTAGTTTTGCTTTGGTTAGCTAATTAATGGGTGCACTGAATGCTTGACAAATTAGACTTACTGCATTTAGCTGGAGAAATTATATGAGAGTGGTATTAGCATTTGGCATTCTGCAAAGGTCTTGGGATATATGCCTTAAGAACTCAAGGATCTATTTTGCTTAGTAATTGGCATATAGTTCACAAAAGGCATTACCATAGATTTTAAAATGTTTTAAAAATAATCTTCCCCAGGGCGCCTGGGTGGCTCAGTTGGTTAAGCGACTGCCTTCGGCTCAGGTCATGATCCTGGAGTCCCGGGATCGAGTCCCATATCGGGCTCCTTGCTTAGCAGGGGGTCTGCTTCTCCCTCTGATCCTCCCCCCTCTCATGTATTCTCTCTCTCAAATAAATAAATAAAATCTTTAAAAAAAAAAAAATCTTCCCCAAAGTATTTTTAGTGCAAATTATTGTTACATTATTCATTTTCTGCACATACTTTTTAAAAAACAGGTATTACAAATATATGCCAAGTTTCAATATAAATCATTATGATTTCAAGGGGTTTAATCTGAAGGTTGTAATGTAACGTTCAGATGATTTTTTAAACCACCATTTCATTGTCATGGTGAGGAAGCATCTGTATGAGTACTAACATTATTATTTTGGTAATTTTAGTCATTGTCCATGAGGATTTATGTGGATTTACAGGCTTGAGGGTTTTTTCATAATTAGAAAGATAAGTGAATCTTTCTTGAGTGATAGGTAGCCAATAATAAATGCAGCAGAATCAATAGAAGCTATAGGCATAAGTTGCCCCAAGGTGCTGCATAAATCTTGTTTTGCTTTCAGCCGAAAAAAAAAAATGGAATTAAGTAAGTAACCCTTGAGACTAGGGTGAATAAATGCATATCAAATGTTGGTACTATTTGATCCTGAGTCATCCGCATAGATGCAGTAAGAAAGGACATTAGAAATTTAAAAATAATTTAACTGCACACATTTCTATCTGAATTTTTCTAATCCAAAAGATAGTGGGATGAGTATCAACTAATAAAACAGATAGCAAGGCCATCTTCTTCCAGGCAAAATTCTATGAAAAGATCTTTAATACATATATTTCCATAATTTCAACTTCCCTTACCCTGAAATTGTAATTTATATTAGTGTCTGTTTCAATAAAGCCAATAAGCAGTAGGTGCTATGGTATAATATTATGGTGACAGAAGTTAAAAAGAAAGGAACAAGGAAAGAAGTGTCAGTTTCTCCAGCAGGGAAGAAATCACACTATACTAGCAGCCACACACCTGCAGAGGGGGAGCTAGGAGAGGCCAGCGATTTCTTCCCCAGCCCCACTTGTCTATGGGGCTGCAGACGCAGGAACGATTAACTTGTAATTTTCTTGGGTTCACAATCTTTGGCCTTTCACTGCCATGAAGCATATTTCTTGGTAATACCGAGTGCCCAGGAAAAGCAAGTGAATCTTAAAGAGCCTGAGGTAACTATGAGCATTTATTAGGTTCTGCTAACTGAGAGAGCCCTGTATCTGTGGCACATAGGGAATGATTTGGGTCATGATAAGTTTTGCATTAGTTACTATATTCTACTATGTAGTCTTTTCTCCATCCCAAAGATCTATTTTTCTGGATTACTGTGAAGATGATGTGAGATAATAATGTATATGAAAGAGCTTTATCAACTATTATGAGTTATGCTCTCTAAAAATGTCAGGTTTTATAAATATTTGAGAAGGCTCATTGTATGGTAAAAACAGCTGGGACCTTGGTGCCAAGCAGGGTCAGATCAAATTCTACCTACTACTATGTTAGGTGCAGAAAGAAAACGGTAGAATGTAGGTAGGTTCCTTTGTGTGACACATGAGCCT